TTTTTTTTTTACCTTGGATGACCACTATATCCATTTAATGCATTTAATGCAATAATATGATTTATTTATTATGCCTAAGACAAAACCAATCAAAAATGTGAATAGAGAGAATATTTTGGCATCCTACTACTAGAAATGAAAAACATTAGGCATTACAAAAATCCAGATAGATCCAAGAGGAGGGATTTATACTTTGACTCTTAGTGACAGTTGCTGTAAATTTTCTCGATTCTAGTTACTTATCTGCAATTATTGTATAATATAGACAGTGAAATATTACAAATGATATAAGGAAGGATAATATGTGAAATAGTTTTAAGCTATAAGTAATAAATGGATATCCTATAATTGGAAATAAGACCAAGTTTGTTTTATATGTTTGCTTTTTTACTGTAAGTATAAAATCTGACTTACAATTATATAAAGAAAAATATTGAAATCTGTGTTTTTATTTATCTTTATCTTTATTTTATCATGAAGTTCTGTCCAAAGTGAATGTTTTCACTTCAGATGTTTTAGCATTTTACAAGATGTGTTGAAAGAGTAAAGTAAGTTATAAAAGTTTTTAAAAAGAAAAAATTTTTAAGGGCTGGTGGAGTGGCTTAAGTGGTAGAACACCTGCCTAGCAAGCATGAGGACCTGAGTTCAAACATCAATGCTGCCAGAAAAGAAGAAAAGAAACCATTAAAAAAATTTTTTTTTTTTAAAGTTTAAAATGTTATTTTAACATTCGATCCCCTTGGCCTTAAGCCTTTTAGAGTCCCTGAGATATTCCTAGACTGGATGTACTTAATGGTACTTTACTGCGTGTGACCTATAAGGAAATTGAATCTAGAATTTTACTGACAATTTTCTAATTTATTTTAAATAGGAAAGGTTTGAAAACTTTTACCATAACAACTTAAAAGTCCCCACCAGAAAAATTGAGAACAGAATGTTACCTAAAATAAACAAGCCGCCAAGGGGATAAATACATCTTATATTGTTTATTCATCAGTGTTATTAATATAATCATTAATGCTTAATAATTCTGAGTTGTTCTTCTAGGGTCGAGTGATAAAGGGGTCCTATAAGTTCCATGCCATCATCACTACATTTGAGATGATTTTGACTGATTGTCCTGAGCTGCGGAATATTCCATGGCGCTGTGTGGTCATTGATGAAGCCCACAGGCTGAAGAATAGGAACTGCAAGCTATTGGAAGGACTCAAGATGATGGATTTGGTCAGTGATCCTACTGGTGAATCCACTGAACCTGAATAAGAATTGTTACTGGCTTGGTAGGCCTGCTGCTCTGAACTGGTTCCTATGAAGGGCATTTGCAGAAGCCTGTCTGACATTGTGACACAGTCTCCTGAACTGTCACTCAAAAGTTGTTGTTGCCTTCTTAATTCTTATGCTTATGCTCTGTGCTGTAGGACAGCTGAGTATAGTCATGATATATTTACTGAAGTGAGCTTCTGGTATTTGATTTACCCGTGTTCATAGATTTAATTGTGAGGCCATCCTTTGCCTTAGAGATGATAGTCCAGCTATGTTCTGAGTCACATAGGTTTTGTCCCACTGGGACCAGTCGGACTTGTAGATGCAAGTTCTCAGTAAGTTGGCTAGGATATCTGGTATTGGTTTAGTTTGTACAGTTGCTTAAACCTGTGGGGAATTACAAGCTCTCAAATTTGATCTGGAGTTTTACACCATATCAATCTCATACTCTTTCATCCTCCCAAAAGATAGTCGGATCATCCTGATTTTCTAGATTTTTTTTTTCCTGTATACTATTGTAAGATACCATATTGTAGGAGTAGTAGAATTTGGTTAATTTGTTGTGCCCTGCTGTGATATAGTTGATATGTAGCAGAAATTGCTGCATGACCTGTCTTTGAGTTTCTTTTCCCCCCATCCATAAGTTGGTTATGACCATTTGGTTTTCATTTTTAGTGCATACTTTAAAGTTATTGTCACTTAGGGTGTCTTAGGTGATTTGATGAGTGTCAAATAGTTAAAAAAAAATCAAAAATTTTTTTCAAACTTCCCTTTAGTACTGACACCTGTAGATTAAAATGATCCCTTGTTAATTAGAGTTAGAGATGGAAAGGAATATTTTGTCTATTCGTGGTATAAGGCTATAAGTTTTTTACTTAAAGATAGGAACTACTGAAGAGAACACCTGAGAGCTCTCTGTTGCAGCTTCTTTGAACTAGCTGCTTGTATTCTTAAATTATGAGGATTGGATTAGCCAGATATTCTTATAATTACAAACAGGCAAAATCTAGTTTTGCTTAAAGGAAGAAGTCTGACTAAATGATCCTATTAAGAGGATTTCACATTTTTCTCTCTAATGGATTATTAACACTGTTCTAAGTCCTTTGTAAAACTTTGCCTTTTTTTGTGTTGTGTGTGGCCAATCCACAAAACAGCATGAGCATTTAGAAACAGGGAATAGTCAAAGACAAGGGGTAAGTGTATGGAAGAGGAGACTCCATGGCTGTCTTTGTCTATTTAGGTGATGCTTTAGCTTTACAATGAAGTAAGCATGTATTTTCAGGTAAAGACTCATGATTGTGATATATCTAAATTTATCTTGGGAGTTGGGATCTACTTTCATGGTGATCCACAAAGGGACAATTGTATGACCAATGAAACTCAATCAATCATCTGACTGAGTTTATTTAAGTTGTGTTCAGTTATTAGTTCAGATGTTCTTATTGCAAAACAGTCCTTCATTGGTGAGTGCAAATTGTTTAATTCTGCCAACAACAGATATTACCTATTTGTCATTGGAATACTTAAGCAATTACTTATTCTAACATTTTGTTAATGGGTTACAATTTGTAACAGATAATTTTTGTTACATATCAGTGTTCCTTAAACTTTCTTGCATGTGGAAAATAGTAATATTGTGCGCACACTGTATTAGACAGAAATGGGAGACCAGTCTTGTGGGTCCTGGCTGTCACAGCCCTACTGGCTACCCCAAGGATCTTTTGGCTAGCAGGAAAGCTTTAATTAGCAAATAATAAATTATTTATTTTCTGATGATTAAGAATCTTTATCTCTTGGCTGGACACAGTGGCTCACACCTAATCTCAGCTACTTGGGAGGTGAAAGAGGATGAGGCCTGTTATTAAGACCCTGTCTAACAAAGAAGCTGAGCATGGTGGTACATATCTATAATCTCAGCTAAATGAGGAGGCATAGATAAAAGGATTGACTTTGGGTGAAAAAATGCAAGACCCTATCTACAAAATATCCTAAAGAAACAGAAGAGATAGTTTTAAGATAGAAGATATAACTGTTGTTCAGGTATCAGAATTTATTTGTATTTGTGCAGTTCTTAATAGCTTGTTGCCTAGTGTTCAAATCCTTACTTAAATATCACTAGAACTTAAGCACTTGCCACTTTTTACACTTCTTTTCTAGAGTAAGTAGTAACTCACAGTAGAGTTAGTAGTAACTATATGCAAGTACAGCAGAGGTCTTAGGAAACTTCTGTTACTTGTGCTACACTGAGCTAGATGAAAATGTGCTTGATGGGGGTGATCTCCAAGTTCGTTCTCAGAAAAGGAAGACCACTTGGTGTCTTCCCCTCTCCCAGAATGAGGAAATGTTTGTGAAGATGATACATGGAGTGCAGTGACCACCTCCACATTCCTCCATAGGCGCTCTGGGAAGGGCAAAGCCATCTCCTTGGCCCTCGTCAATGAGGAAGGGATGCCACAGAGGTCGTAGTCATTCGTTGTTGATTGTGTTGTCTCCTCTTGCGTTGTTAGGAAGCCCCACACAAATGAAAGATTCTGCTGAAATGAAACTATGCACAACACTCCATCAAAGTGAAAAGGAACTTAGGGAAAAACCGTATTTGCTGGTGTAGTCAAGCTTGGAGGTGATGGTGCTCAGTAGCCTGAGTGGGGTTTCCTTTTTTTTGTTTCAAATAACTTTATTTTGAAATCAATACATTAAAAAGTCTTTAACTTTCAAAGCGTTCAGTTAGGTTTCAGGATTTAAGTCAGTAACAAAGGATATGGGAGACAATTAGTACGATATTACAGCTCTTCCACTGCAGTGACTCTCTCCTGAAACTTTGGTGGCTTTTAAAAAAATTCTCGGATAAAGTCATTCAGGACTTGGGCATATAAATGATTGTGGTCCATGAAACATACCAGCGTGCTTATATGGTAAAAGATCTTGAATTGATTTACAAACTCCTGTCAGTTCATGAATTTAATCAGTGAAGATGATGGTGGGCCATCCATTTTCAATCAGAGACCTCTATGAGGGAAGAAAAAGAGGAATGAAAACATTGAACTACTTCACTCCACTTTCAAAGAACTTCATTGACACATCGATGAGACATGGCAGTTATTAAGGAAATTGTTTTATTTTGGGGTCAGGGTCTCACTAGTTAGGTCAGGCTGGCCTTGAACTCAGTAGGTCACCCAGGCTGGCCTCGAACTCATAATCTTCCTGCCTCAGCCTTCTGAGTGCTGGGATTACAGTTGTGAGTCACCACGCTCAGCTGATTAGTATGTTCTAACTTACATAATTAGACTATTATTTACTGAACATATATTCTGCTTGGCACCGAGTCTTACCAAATTCCAAGTTAAGTCAGAATATAGCTTTTGAAACTACTAGAAGCCATAGTCATTTTCTAAAATAGTTTTGTCACTTGTGCTATACGTCAAATAACCAAAGTAAAAAAAAATATTAAGGGTGTCAAGATTTATAAATTCACTGTTAAGCCTGGTCACTTTAAAATAGGTCCTCAGTGTTGCATATCTGGAAATAGCAGGACAGGGTACAGCTGTGTAAGGAGAGATGGAGAAAGAGCTCATAAACGGAAGACTTAATTGAAGAAATACTGAACTTGATTCAAAGAGACAAAATTGGAAATTGCATGTGATTTTTTTTTTTCTTTCTCTTTTTTTTTGACATAGGGTTGGTCCCATGTATGTCCAGGTTGGTCTTGAACTCACAATCCTCCTGCCTTAGCTTCCCGAGTACTAGGATTGCAGATGTGCACCACCATACCCAGTGTAGCATCTAATTTTAAAAACAAAACAAAAGATTGTAGTATTTAAAATCAAGCTGACTTTCTTTGCCAGTTGGAAACTTTTGCAGAACAAAATAATTTTTCATATGCTGTTGCATTTAGAAGATCTTTTGTCTCTAAAGTGAGTCATACAGGAAGCAGATAGCAGGTAAGCATTCTCGAAGTACAGGGATTTAAAAAAAAAAACCCAAAACTTAAATTGACTTAGTAGCTTCCCAAGGAAGCAAAATGGCAAAAAACACTTAAGGAGTCTGCAGAGTTCAAAAGAGGACAGACCCTCCACTTGTCTTCATCTGGAGCATGGAATTTGTTGATCTCAAATCTGTCTTCATGCCTAATTTCTACACTTTCTATAGTTGGTGCTGAGTTACTACAATGAGCAGAAGTAGAAAAAATGGATATGTTAGAGAAAAGCATTTATCTATACTGTTTTTGTCATAGTTTGGTCACTTGCTTTGCATGTTACTGTAGGAGCATAAGGTGCTGCTGACTGGGACCCCACTGCAGAACACTGTGGAGGAGCTCTTTAGCCTGCTGCATTTCTTGGAACCAAGTCGCTTCCCTTCAGAAACCACCTTTATGCAAGAATTTGGTGATTTAAAAACAGAAGAGCAGGTACTTATCACCTCTGTTTTATATATTCTAGTCATAAAATGGAAGATTAAGTCATGAAATTTCAAAGCATTAATATTGAAGTATTTTAAAACAAATTTTCTCATCTTCCTCACTCATGACAGAGTTCCCATATCCTTCCCTTCACTTGGACTTTCCAAGCTATCATTATGAAGGTTTTCTTGTTTATGTGTTTGCCCTGAGAAAGGGCTGTTGAGTTATATAGAGAAGTTATATATCTGTAGACATAATTTTTGGAGATGCCTGTGCTATTCAAGTGGTAACTTTGCTATGTGTACCTCCAGGGACAATATTAGAAGTCCCTGAAGTTTGTAGAGTTATTTGCTTATTTGAGTTTGGAGTTTTACTCTCATTTCTGAACTATGTATACTTGGATACATTGCTCACTCTTTTTTTTTTCTTGTGGTACTGAGAATTGAGCCTGCTTGCTAGTCAAGCGCTTTACCATACTCTCAATTCTTTTGATTTTTTTAGTTTGTTTTTCAGATAGGGTCTTATGCTAACTTTTCCAAGGTAGCCTCCAACTGAGATTCTCCTCAGTAGCTGGGATGCTAGCTTTTTCAAGCCTACACAGTTTCAATTTACAAACATAAGTTATAACTAGCTCACAAGATTTCTGTGAGAAATAAATTAGGTTCAGTGTGGGGAAAGCACTTGATTACTTTATGTATGGTGAAGTTTATGTGTTTCATATACTATATTTGAAATAAACATGGAGAGATGGGCTTGTTACCTTGGTCTTTTTGTGCTTTCTCCCCAATTTACTGTCTTAATACCTCCTAGTTCACTGTGAAGTTTGTTTTGTTTTGCTTTTGCAAAATAAAAACTGTGTGTTATACCAATCAATGGAAAGGTGAACCAGGAACACATCTGCTTGCTCATTGATATAGGCAGAGACTATATAACTTTTGGCTTATTCCCTCTCTCTTTTTTTTTTTTTTTTAAGCTCTTTCTGCAAAGGAAGAGAACAGAACAGTTTCCTCCCTCTTCCTCATCACCCTAGGACTTGAGACAGATAGAAGAGAAAATTATATTAATAAATTCCCTTTTTTTTCCCTCCATTATGAGCTTTTCAAGCCCTTCTGGCTGTTCAGGAATCCTGGGTAGGTAAAATCGTCCATTTGACATAGAATCATCAAAGAAGAAAGGAAAACGAAGAAAAAAAAATCTACTCTTGTGTTTCTTATGAAAGTGGAAACAAAGAGCTGAAGCTCTTTGAAAAATGAAAAAATACTCACTTTTTCATATCATTAAATATGATAATCCTGGGTTTTATTTTAAGTTGTGTTTTAACATGTAAGCAAATGGTGATATCAGTATTTACCCGAGGTCCTTTTTTAGGTGCAAAAACTTCAGGCTATTCTAAAGCCAATGATGTTGAGACGGCTCAAAGAGGATGTAGAAAAGAACTTGGCCCCCAAAGAAGAGACCATTATTGAAGTTGAGCTAACAAACATTCAGAAGAAATATTACCGAGCCATCCTTGAGAAGAATTTTACATTTCTTTCCAAAGGTGGTGGACAAGCTAACGTACCTAACCTTTTAAACACTATGATGGAATTGCGAAAGTGCTGCAATCATCCGTACCTGATCAATGGTAAGCATGCCTGCTTGTTAACTCGTGTAAATAATGTAGCAGCTCCAGAAATCCCTTTCTGCTCTGAGACTAAGGGATGTCATGGTACATAGTTGTTATTACTCTGTTCACTCAGGTGACGCCTCCCCTGTGGTTGCTGAAGGCCAAGTGACCAGTGTTTTCTTGGTCCTGAAAGTGTGATCACCCTTGTCCAACTCCTTTCATGAAAAGGAGTAATTCGTGCTCCATAGTGAGAAGTCATCAGAAATACTGTCAGCTCACAACATTAGTCCTGACAGGTTGATTGATGTTTTCTTGGTGTATGTATGTGTTTACATGAGAGGCACTAAGGAGGATTTCCAGTGTGGGGCAACAGCTATTAGCTATGTCAGATGTCCTCAGATTCCTTATAGTCTGGAGGCCTTCAGAAGCACGTTTTCAGGAAGAATATGAGCTGATCTTAACTTTGCCTGTAGTTTGTCCCTGTTACAATGGAGACTTTATGGATTTCCTGTTTTCTTAACTAAATCCATAGTGTTATATAACTTATATGGGTTAAAACTCTCTTCTATACTTCCAAAATGTGGTAAGGGGAGGGGTATGTCATGCTTGTGGGAACACACCCTCCAGGGAGCTTCCAGGATGTCATGGGATAGAGATTAGAAATCTTTAGAAGGTACGGCATGTGAAATAAGCCTTCAAGGCTAGGAAGGGTTTTGCCAAGTAGAATTAGAGAAGGAAAGGACCTCAAGACTGAACGCATAACACAAGCAAACAGGGAAGCATGAAAACAAAGGGAGAACTTGCCCAAAGTATAACCATGTGTGAGAAATAGTGGGACCATATACCCTAGTCCCACTGGGACCCTGCTTTGAAGGCCTCAGATGTTAGCACATAGTACTTTGGCTCCAGTCTGTAGGTGAAGGAGAGCCACAGCTAGTGTTTGAGCTAAGCATTGATTAGAAATGTGGCTCTGGATGATCCATCAGGTAGCATTGTGTAAAAAGGAGTGGGGAAGGGACAGATGGATAAGCAGAAAGACTAACTCAGGCAGGAGCTATGGTAGCAGATAATGCAGACTAAAGGGAGTGGATACAGGCTAATTTTGGGGTACTTGTACACAATTATAATTGGCCAGCAGTGCAGTTAGGCTCCTTTTGAAGGAAGAAGGAAAAAAGCCTACTTGTGTCTTTATCATAATCCATGAGGGGTTCAAGGAGAGCTGATTTAAAGAGCTCCTAATCTTTTCTCCTTTCACAATGTACACCCACCAACCACTGTGGATCCAGAAGTCCCTGTTACTATAGCACAAAAAGTGGTCTGTGTTTGGAAGATGGACTCAGAGCTGAGGTCATTGCTTTGGTGTGAGTGACATCAGGGAATTTCTTTTTGTAAAAGAAAGTGTTTTTAGCTTTGTCTTCTAAAGAGAAAATCATGTATGAAAATTACATGTTTCATATAATAGTATGGTATCAACCAGCCTGTTCGTGAGTTGGGGCTTAGGGCAAATAAAGGTGTGAGTAGAAGATGCATACCAACACCCACACAGTTTTACATTAAAGAGCCGGTAAAGATAAAATAAATAATAATAGCCTCTAATGGCAAAGAAGAGAAAAGGAGATATTCCCAGAAGGGCTTGAATGCTGCCAGCAGGATGTATATAAAGGAGAGACAGGCTCAGTGCTGTTGTGAGATAGCCACCCCACACCACCAAGTTTGCCCTATTTGCTCACATGTTAATTGCATGCATTGAGCATTACTGGGTGTTTTCCCCCAAAATAGAGCTGGGGGTCTCTTCCATAGCTGATTGCTCTCCAGGGTCAGTCACCCTATACAGCTCATTTGTTTCTCAGGAGCCTCTGAGGACTGTCTGAAGCATGGCACCTGTGGCATTTGTTCTAATTGTTTGCACTTCTGAGGTCAGCTCTTCTGTCCTTACAACGAGTTAGAAAGTGTCTGTTAAGCAGGTGCCGTTGTGCCTTTATTTTTGGGAAATTGTAGTTAGAAAAAATATAGATGCATACACACACACCCCCCCTATAGCTGCCCTGATAACTTAGGTAGACATTATGTTTCAGAGGTTGCTCCAAGGCCAGTAGTATCCATTCTCATCCACAGTCTGGAAGTAACTTCCTGTCACACTGCCACAGAGCCATCCCTACACATGATTATTGAACATTTGTAAGTAAGTCTTTAATTTTAGAAACTAAATTGAAATGTACTGTTTGTGGCAGAGTAGAGCTGCCTTAATCAAAGTAAATTTCAATTCCACAGAGCACAACCTTTCTGCAGTTGTGAAAAATAGAAGCAACTTTATGCATGATTTGAGAGGAGTAGCAGGCACAACAGGAGAAAAATCTCAAGTGTGGTATAATGCAAAGTGTATAAAAATGAGAAATATTTTTAATATGACTTAATATTTTTTCTTTTTAAAATTTATTTATTAGCATATTATAGTTGTACCTGGGTTACTTTGTGACATTTACAAAAGGCTTACGGTATGTCTAAGTTAGATTCATCCCATCCATCTTTCTCCTTTATCCCCCTTCCCCTCTTTAGAACAGTTTCAACAGATTTAATTGTTCCATTTTCATACTTTATTTAGTATTGTTATTCAGGTAGTTGGAACACAGTTTAAGCGCTCCAGTAAGTGTTGCTAGTTATTTTTCTTGCTAAAAGTTAAGCAAGTAACTGGATCACATAAATGGTGTTACTATTATTGCCCCAAGCATTATTTGAATAGAATTTGTAGCTCCTTAATGTGAGTGTAAAAATAATGGTGAAAACATGTCTGAAGTCTTCTGATAGCTAGAGGTGACTTTAGAGTCTTTGGTTGTTAGTATTGGAGGTAGGGAGAGCATAGAAAATAGTGAGCAAGTAGAAAAATCAAAATAAGATTTACCTGATGGAAGGCAGGTAGGAGGAGATGGAGGCAGATACTGTTTAGGAGAAAAAACTAGTAGCTTTTTTTTTTTTTTTTCTGGTAATCTTCAAGAACAAAATGCTTTCTTGTTCAATCATAGCTAATATAACTAGATGACATAGTCATTGTCCTGACAGTGGCCATTTGTTGAAGTGAAGAGACCTCAGACTGGAAGTGAGTGCACTCTTATTTTAAGTTGCCTTTATATACACTATTAACTGAAGTACCACTTGTACTTTAATCTAGGGCAGAACCAGCAAAATATTTTGGCTTATCATAACCCATTCCTAATTAATTTTCTGACTCATATCTACAAATCTTTAGTAAATCTTCAATTGGTAATTTTGAAAACTTGGCTGTCACATCAAAAGGTAGAAATTACCCTCTTCCTCAATACCTTCCCTACCTTCTTGCCTTCAATGTTGCCATAATAAATACAGTGTTAAGAGAATCACAAAGAAAATATGTTGTCTGATGTTATTTTTAAATGAAGTGTTATTAGTGTAAATTGGCTACTACTTAAAGAACTGAATTGATCAACCTAGCAGATTTTGTCAGATAAGAAAGAATGCTGGGCTGGAGGCATGGCTCAAGAGGTACAGCACCTGCCTAGCAAGCAGAAAGCCCTGAGTTCAAACCCCAGTACTGCCAAAATAAAATAAAATAATGTATTATTAACCCCCCCTCTCCCTTTTCTCTCTCTTCGCTCTCTCCCTTTAACTCAGGGCCTCAGCTTGCTAGGCGGATGCTGTAACACTTGAGTCATTACTCTGACCTCTTTAGCATTGAAAAGGCAGAAGAGTTATTTTTCTCAATACATTTTTTTTAAAACTTTAAATGAGTTTAGGTTTCTCTACTAATTTGACTGAATTATTTATACTTTCAAACACTTTTACTAAAATGATCCAAGAATATTTGGTATTCATTTTCTTTGAAATGAGTATCTCACTGTTAAAAATGTTCACTGATCATTAACTTGCTTTACACTACTAAAAACATACTTAATTTTGATTATGGATTGTAACCTCCATATGAACAAAAATAATTGCCTGAATAACATATGAGTAACATCTGTAAGTTTTGAAGATCTTATAGTGTAGTATGTAGAAGAACCAACTTTCAAAACTATCTAACAGAGTATGTAACCTTAAATTATTTCCTGTTTCTTGAGGGCCTTCTGAATCTCAAACCTGGGTTTCTAAATTTCATGTTTTGAAAAACATCATCCAACTTCATTAAACAACATTCTTGCTAATGCTCTTAAACAGCATTTTGTTCTTTATCTTTTCCTAATAAAACCCTTGCTCTTTTCCATACTAAAAAAATCTGAATATTAAGTTTTTACTCATATGAAAGGGGGAATAAGGGCCAAACTGTTCTGACAGAGCTGGCATTTTCTCCCAGTCCCCCTTCTTAAGAAGGTAGTGTGTGTCACGGAAGACCCTAGTGCTTGGTAACGACATTAAGTGACTTTAATCTGTCCTCAGTGAATTCTTTGTTGACTCATAATTAACAAGCTGTGTATTTCTGTATAGGACCATGTCATACAGTAGGTTTCCCTTAAAATGGAAGTCAAATTATATTTTTGTTGCATCTTGTACTTCTTACAGAAGTGCCATCTTGTGTGACTGTAGTGGTTTATCTGACCCAACCTCTAAAACCGTTTTGTGATTGAAATATCCCCATCTTGCATATCACTAGTTCACCTGTTTAAAGCTGGTGGTAGGACAGATAAAGTTTCTGGCACAGTTAATCTTAGATGCATGAATTTGGTATATTTTCCACAGAACAGGTTAGCATCCTCCATGCTGGGGAGGGAGAGGGAAAGGGGTGAGACCAGCACTACATAATTCCAGCTGAGTTACCTAAGTAGTTAAGGAAAGCTTCTCCTGCTGCTTCCTGAATAAGCCCATGCTCAGGGTAGGTAGGAAATCCTGGGGCTTTGTTCTTTAGGAACATGTCATTTTCTTGAGTGCTTCTCTCCAATGCACTCAAGTCTTTCAACAAGCAAAAATCCACATGGGGGAAAGAGGGGTAAGCATTAAAAATTTAGAAGTTGTTTTCATTTTTAGTTTGAAAAAGTTTGGATAATTTAAGATGGAATTTTTGTATTTTAGAAAATTATCAAGTGAGAATGAATTTGGAAGACCTAGAAATTGTAGTAGAAGATGTATACCTAGGTTCTCCACAAAAATCCATAAAAGTTATATAGAAAATGAACTTCGCTTTCTGCAGTCCTTAATATACAATTATGGATCCAAACTACAGCCCTTCCACTTTAATTGTTAGGACTCCATTCCTTTGTTTCTTAGTTTCAGAACAGATTTTGTTGTTTGTATTTATATTCAGCTAGTAAACAGTTCATTTCTTTAGCAATTTAGGTTCCAATTTTTCTGTAGGTATCTGGCCCTTGGCTTGTTTCTGCCACTTCTGGCTTGACAGTCTGTTGTTGAAATTCAGTTTTACAGGCAGCAAACATTTGTTTGTTGAAAAATGTGATTTTTCTCCCTAAATACCTCAATGTGTGGTGCTTAAAACTTTGATCCCTTTTGTACAGCTATTATTTTATGTACACCCAACTTAAAAGTGGATGGATTCTTGATCATAAATAAGAGTGTGGGATTCTAGTTCCTGCAGTTTATGGTGGGTTTTGAAAGCAGATTCATTGTTTTTAGTAATGAAAACCTTTTACAGTATTCACGTTATGCTGTCCAATCTCTGCAGGTGCCGAAGAGAAAATTTTGGAAGAGTTTAAAGAAACACACAATGCAGAGTCTCCAGATTTTCAGCTCCAGGCAATGATCCAGGCTGCTGGCAAGCTAGTTCTGATTGACAAGCTGCTGCCAAAACTGAAGGCTGGTGGCCACAGGGTGCTTATCTTTTCCCAGATGGTGCGCTGCCTGGACATACTGGAAGACTACCTCATCCAGAGACGGTGAGGCCACCGTCTCAGAATAACAAAAAGGAAAGAAAAACTGGCCTTAGACTGGGCTCTGCAGGGTTCACCTACAAGTGACATTTATGATAAAAAGGGGATGGAATAAAAAAAAAATCCGGCATATCTTCTTAAAATTTTAGTTGTACCTAGAGTTATTTTATATGATGACAGGAGGATATCGCATAGTTTTGTGGGCAGATTTCCTGCCATTGCTTTCATTTGCCTAAGGGAGAAGACTTCTTACTTAAAATTGAAGTTATTTGTTATCTTATGGAATGGTCAGCTATTTTCAGAATTTAGCTGTTTCATTGAAAAGAAAGTAAAATAAAATTTAATCTTTGGGCAGCCAGTTGCATAAAAACTTTTGAGAAATTGATCTGAAATGATTTCTGTTAAATTATATTGTTCTGTTAGTATGTATTCCATAGTGTAATTATTTACTTAAAGATTTAGGAACAAATAATATTGTAGCTGTTCGTAAGGCCTCCCTATTATTTTTATAGGTACCCATATGAAAGGATCGATGGCCGAGTAAGAGGCAACCTCCGCCAGGCAGCTATTGACAGATTCTCCAAACCTGATTCTGACAGGTTTGTTTTCCTCCTGTGTACGAGGGCAGGAGGTTTAGGCATTAATCTCACTGCTGCTGATACCTGCATCATCTTTGATTCAGACTGGAATCCCCAAAATGACCTCCAGGTAAGCACACAATGAGATCTTCCTGGTGCCCTTTTTTATTCTACTATGACAGTCCCCAGTCAGACCAGTAAATCAAAGTTGTGTCATGATTCAGAGCAATCAGCATGGCCAGTTTATTAATAGCATGAGAAGAAATCTCTAATGTATCAATCCTCTTCAATACTATACCTGTAATTATTGGAGTATAAAGTTTCATTACTAACAAGTGAGTCATGTCTTTTTTTAGCTGTAGCTATCTGGTCAGCATGGACTGCAGTAACAGAGTGCCATAAGTTGAATAGCTTAAACAATGCCCATGTATTTCTCAAAGTTCTAGAGGTTGGAAATCTGAGATCAGGGTTCCAGGAAAATTGGGTTCTTGCTGAATGAACCCTCCCTGGTTTACAGACAGCCCCTTCCTGCTATACCCTCACACAGAGGAAGGAGCATGCTCATTCTGCCCTCTTTATAGGAGCACTAATTCCATTCATTAGGGTGCCACCCTCCTGACTTAATTACCTCCCTAAATCCCCCTTTTAACTACAAATCTCATCACATTGGCATCAGAGTTTCAACACGAATTTAGGGGGAACACGAACATTCATCCCATTGCAATAACCATTAATTCTCTTTTTCTTCCAGGCTCAGGCTAGATGTCATAGAATAGGACAGAGTAAATCTGTGAAAATCTACAGGCTGATTACAAGAAATTCCTATGAAAGGGAAATGTTCGACAAGGCTAGTTTGAAGCTTGGTCTGGATAAAGCTGTGCTGCAGTCTATGAGTGGAAGAGAAAATGCTACCAATGGGGTAAAATAACACTTGCCCAAATCATTCATTTATTCTGGCTCTTTCCTTTAGTTAGCACTAGTAAGAAGTTATTTGGCATCTGGGTTTTTTTTCTGGTGGACCTGGAGGGTTGAACTCAGGGCCCTGTACTTGCTAGGCAGGTGCTCTACTACTTGAGCCATTCTGTCAGCCCCTTTTTATGTCAGTTATTTTTGAGATAGGGTCTCACTTTATGCCCATGCTGACCTGGACAGCAGTCCTCCTATTTGTGCTTCCCATCCCTGTAGCTGGGATGACAGACACATGCCACTGTGCTCAGCCTTTGGCTGAGAGTGGGATCTTGCAAACTTTTTGCTTGGGCTGGCCTCAAACTGAAATCCTCCCAATCTCCGCTTCCCAAGTAACTAGGATTATAGGTTTGAGCCACTGTGCCCAGGCAGCATCTGATTTTTTTTTTTCCTGTCTATTTTTAGCATATTTTGTTGCATTTTTCTTTGTTACAAATCAACCTCTGAGGAAAGTGGAACATTTTGTTTCTAAACATTTTAATTCTAAATTACTTTGAATATTAAGAATATTTCTCTAAAACAGGTACAACAGCTTTCCAAGAAAGAAATAGAAGATCTTCTACGAAAGGGGGCTTATGGTGCACTCATGGATGAGGAAGATGAAGGGTCTAAGTTTTGTGAAGAAGATATTGATCAGATTCTTCTACGGCGAACCCACACTATTACCATTGAGTCTGAAGGAAAGGGTTCCACATTTGCTAAGGTGTGAATCCATCTAAAGAGGCTGAGTATTTTTTTACAGCAGCATGGTAGAGTTCTTAAAGAGTGCTTTGTAAAACTGCTTATAGAATGCATTCATAAAATTTGCTTTGCATTATGAATTAACAAATTAATTACTACCTCCCTGGGGAGTCCCCAACACATAAAACATTCTTTGTATTTTGGGTTCTTTTGGTTGTATAGGACACCTGTTTTTGACCCCCATCCCCTCCACTTCTTAAATCTGGCACTGTCATCATCATCATCATCATCATCATCTTCTTTCCCTGATTCCTGAAAGAGCCTATAAGAATGATCAAGTCACCCCTACCTTAAAAATCAATCATCTGTTTTCCCCTCTGGTTGTAAGTCTTCCCGTAGCTAAAATCCACACCAGCATTATCTACTCCAGCTGTATCCTCTGCCTGCTTCTCACTTATTTTTCAATTTCCACATCCCCTTGCCCCTATGTCTGAACTGCTGTGGTCAAGAATGCTCTGAGTTCCCAACCATCCATCCACATGACAGCTCTTTCTGAGGGTTCACCTGCATTTTCTTCTAGCCATCCACACCAAGGCTCATTCTACATTTTGAGTTTATCAGCTTTATTGAAATGTAATTTACTTACCATAAAATTCACCTGTTAAGTGTATAATTCATTGCCTTTGACATATTGCAGGTTTGTGTAATCATCTGCACAATCTAAATTTAGATTGTTCCTATCACCCAGAAAGACCCTCATATTCATTGGTAGTCAGTCCCTATGCCTCCTCTCCCCCTCTCTGTTCACCCTAGTTCCTGGAAACCACTAATGTACTTTCTCTATAGATTTGTAAGTATGTGTTCCTTATAGACTATATCAGTAATTTGTTCCTTTTTGTTGCTAAACAATATTCCATTATAAAACATTTACTAGTTATAAGGTACATTTGGGTCTTTATCCATTTACTAGTTGGTGATGAAATTTGGGCTGTTTCTCCTTTTGGGTTATTGTGAGTAATGTTATGAACTTTTGTGTGCTCCTTTTTGTGTGGATATATGTTTTCTTCTTTCCTGGTCTAGACCAGGAGTAGAATTGCTGGATCATATGTTAACTTCATATTGAATGCTTTAAGGAACTACCAGACTGTTTTCTAAAGTGATTGCACCATGCTCCCTTCCCATCAGCAGTTTATCAGAGTTCTGTTTCCTCCACATCTTCACAATACTTTTTTTGTTGTTGTTGTTATACTAGTGTTTGAACTTAGGGCTTTGCACTTGCTACACAGGCACTTTACTGCTTGAGTTGCACTTCCAGTTCTTTTTACTTTGGTTATTTTGGAGTTAGCCCATGATCCTCTTATTTGACGTCTCCTGCCGTAGCTAGAATGACAGTGTGCTCCACAATGACCTTCCAAATGGGATATCAGGAGTTATTTTGTTGTTGTTGTTGTTCTTTTGTCCCCCTGGGCTGATCTGAAACCACAATCTTCCTAATCTTAGCCTCCCACGTAGCTTGGGATGACAGGCATATGCCACTGTACCTAGCTGTTAGTTGAGATGGAGTCTCATGATGCATTTCCAGGTTCTTTCCTCAGTCCTCACAAGCACTGTAAGTTCAGTCACCCCTGATCTGTTGTCCTCAATGCACACACCATCTGTCTACCTGAGTGTCACCATTCAGCTGCCAGAGTTGGATGCTGAGATTTTCCTTGGTTTCTGACTCTTTCATAGTTGTCTACTTCCATGAATTTTGCCCTTTAAAGAACATCTTTCTGGTCTGTCTCCTTTTCTTCATCTTTACTTTATCGTTTTCATACTTCATTATTTATTTAAATTACTACAGTGGCCTCTGTGCTCCAGGACCTTGGTGTGACCTCTAGTGTGTGACTCTTAACACGATCATGTCCATCTTGAGATTGCTTCTAATTTCAAATAGTTTGTGGCTCACTTAGGATGGAGTTCACATTCTGTTAACAGCACACACAAGGCCCTGCTTGTCCTATCTTCTGCCTTACCATCTTTCCGTTTGGTTGCTCTTTCTGAGTACCTCCATCCTTTTTCCTCTGTGTCTTTGCACATGTTCTGTAGTGAGCATCGCACATACTTTCTTGTTTTATGAGTGTTATAAAATATGGTCCAAACATTGTCTTCTAGGGGAGTCTTTCCTTCTTAAATCCCACAGTTCCCTGCTTGGATTTAGTTAGGGGTCTTCCTCTATGTATTACTTGGGCCTCTGTGTATCTCTTACTATCATTTAAGCTGCAGTGCACACCTTTGTTTCCTGGTCTGTCTTAACCTCTAGAGAGTGAGCTGTCTGAGGGGTAGTCTTTCGTCTCAGTTCCATCCACTACACCATCTGGCACAAATGGAAGAGTACACATATGTCTGAGTGAATGGATAAACAAAGGCTGCTTTGCATTCTGGTTCTGAGAAAAGCATCTTAAAATAATGTATTTTTTTTTCTCTCCTCTAGGCCAGTTTTGTTGCATCTGGAAATAGGACAGATATTTCCTTGGATGATCCAAATTTCTGGCAAAAGTGGGCTAAGAAGGCTGAATTAGACATTGATGCCTTAAATGGGAGGGTGAGTGAGAAGTCCTATTCAGACACCTATCTGATCTAACCAAAAGGTGACTCTTTTAGAAGTTTCAAATATATGTGCTCTTTTGTTAGAACAACCTGGTTATTGATACTCCACGAGTGAGAAAGCAAACCAGGCTGTACAGTGCAGTGAAGGAGGATGAGCTGATGGAGTTTTCAGACTTGGAAAGTGATTCTGAGGAAAAACCTTGTGTAAAGCCACGGCGTCCCCAGGATAAGTCACAGGGCTATGCCAGGAGCGAATGTTTCCGAGTGGAGAAGAATCTGCTCGTTTATGGGTAAGATGGACTCATTGTGTACAGTAGAGTTTTATTCTGCATTTATGTTTGTACCTTTGTGATTCCCCTTAATGCAGCCAAATGAATGCATCTACAGTAACTGTGCATCCTGAGGTTATTTGGTTAAAAGTGGTCCAAGTTCACATTTTTTCAGATGTGGAATGGTCACTGGAAGTTAGTGGTAGGTGCTGCCTTAATGAATTATTGCAGACCCAGATTTACTTGTAGATTATCAGTAACTGATAACAAAGTCTAAAATTATAAAATCTTTTCCCGCAACTATGGTAATCTTTTAATGTTTATCTGCTATAAAAATTACCAAAGGTAATAATCTCACTTGTTAAACTCATCTGAAACACAGGTGGTCATTTGAACTTTGTTAATGTGTTGTATTTCTCTGGTGGACTACAGGCTTCCAAAAGGCTGGATCCCTATCTAATTCATCTCTGGATCACTATGGCACCACATGGTTATTTAAATGGCAGGGTGCTCAGAAAATACCTGAATCAGTAAATGAGAGTTCTCACTCATACTGTGGGACCATAAGCAGATTCCATTAAAATAAAAACACCTGCCACCAAAGCAGTCTTTCCGCTGACCTGGTGGTGTCCTGCTTATGATGATTTCTTCCAGTGGATCCACCATTAGTGCTGAGTAGAGACAAGTGTTTGTTTGTGTGGCATTCTGTGCTCTCTAGCTGGCCCTTGTCTGTCTTTGTTCTTTCTCTTGGGCAGTCCAAGCCCTGTCCAGACAGACTGCCTCATCTCCTTTGATGTCCATGCCCATGTCTTTGCACAGGTTCTTGCCACTGCCTAGAGTGACCTCCCCCCAACACACATACACACACACAGACACACACAGACGCGCACACACACACACCCTCCCACCCACCCACCCACCCTCCTTCCTTCCAATATGCAACCTTGATCAGCTGCTCTCCTGGAACATCCAACACAGGCTTCACCTTTTCATTCTGGCCTGTACTTCCTATTGCATTCATCATATTGTAGCATGATTTTTAAGTCATCTGCTTTTCCTGCTGGATTCCCAGTTAGCAGGTCCTTGAGGACAGAGACTCTTTCTTTGTATCCTTAGTATGTGATGCGGTGCCAGTGGACACACAGTGAATGCTGAATAAATGCTCATTTGTGGAATCCATGAAAGTCAGCAGAACTCCATCCTGTATCTAAGCAGCTCTATCAGCACTCCTCATTGTGAGAGCTGGACAACTTCTGCCTGCTTGCTCTGCATGGGGCAGAAGCTCTCCCCATCTCAGCCCTTTGCTGCTTGCACCTGCTTCCTTATTTCAATCTAATGGTCAGAGTTATGAATGTTGTTGGAAGCCTTAAGACTGGAACACTTTAGTAATTTATAGTGCTAATAAGGATGCTCAATGCACATTGTCTTTCAATCAGGCCTTTTTCTTTTCCCATACTCATCACTGTGTATCAAACTCTGTTGTGTGCTAGCTAGTATATTCTCAGACACCAGGAGCATAGCAGTGAGCAAGACAGTCTTGTTAGCCCAAGGCTATGAGCAAACAGAAGTGGCAGTACATTGTGAGGATGCTGGAAGCAGGAAGCACTCAGCTAGTGGAGCAGAGACTCCTAGCACCTTACTTGTAAGACACAGCTAGTGCTACCGTCTCACTTCTGGGGCTAGGAGAAGTCAAAGAAGGAATTCCACAGGAAGTGATACGTACAATCTGGCTAGATGGACATCATACAAGGGAATGTTGCCAAGCATACAAGGAAATGTTGTAGCTTGCATAAGGAGGAGGAGGAGAGAATAGCAAGTTCACAGGCCTAGGTGTAAGACCATCCTTGGGGTTGAGGAACTAAAAGAAGTTTTAGAAGACAGAGAGGACCTGGGAATGGGAAGAGACCATGCCAAGCCCAAAGGCAAGGCATGGGAGAGAGGATGTTTGCTGTATGTGCAGTCGAGGCCGAGTCCTCAAGTATAGCCCTAAGCCCATTGTCACCAAAGATGGTGGAAGGGCTGTTTGTACTATGATCCCTTGTGGCTCTGTGTGCTGTCACCCAGAGGAGGCACAGCTCCACCATGCCTGTTCATTGTGTGGTTATATCCCAAACATTTAAGCTGAAACAATGGATTATGCCATGAAATTGATGATCAGGGTCAACTGGTTGTTACCTGTTTGCCTGTATCCATACTCCTTTCTCCCACCTTTTTCATGTGAGGACCTAGAGTGGGCTGAGCATCTTTCCTGTGAGTGTTCTTGTATTGGAATTACCACTCCCTGTCCAAAAGGAACTTCAGTGTTTCTTAGGCCTTTACCCATTATCATGGCATCCCATTGAGGTGGATTAATGTAGCCATACTCCTTGGTGTCGCCTCCTTGATTTGGGATGTCACATCTACCTTGAGTCACCTTTCATCTCAAATGATTGGTCAGTACTGAAACATAAACCATACCAGCAGGAAGCAGAATATACAGTTTCCTGGCATCTGCTCAGGAAACAGTGTTAGCCACGTGCGTACAACCAACTCTTGTACTCTCAGTTGCTTTCTTGTCATCTGATGTAAAATATTGCTTGTTTTGACATGGGATTTCCCACTGCTGGTACCTGACTGTTAAGATAAAGCTCCACATCACAATCAGAGGCTCCATGCTAGTTATTTGCTTTTTAGCTGGGGCCGGTGGACAGACATCCTGTCCCATGGACGCTACAAACGTCAACTCACCGAGCAAGATGTGGAAACCATCTGCAGAACCATCCTTGTGTACTGTCTCAACCATTACAGAGGGGATGAGAACATCAAAAGTTTCATCTGGGATCTGATCACGCCCACAGCTGATGGCCAGACACGAGCTTTAGTCAATCATTCTGGTAGGTCTATTTCATGTTTTCAGTGATTCCCAGCCACAGAGAGCCACTGAAACTTCTAATAAAAGAGATGCAGTATAGAGTCTGTGTTACACTATCTGCCTCTGACACTGTAACATGCTTCTGTGATGATGATGATGATGGTGCTTCCAGGTCTGTCAGCCCCAGTGCCAAGGGGAAGGAAAGGGAAGAAGGTGAAAGCCCAGAGCACACAGCCTGTGGTGCAGGATGCTGACTGGTTGGCCAGCTGCAACCCCGATGCCCTGTTCCAGGAGGACAGCTATAAGAAGCACCTGAAGCACCACTGCAACAAGTACGTCTCTAGGGATGGAGCAGAGCCTGGTCCCGGCCAGTGTTGGGTGGGGTGCAATGGTTCATGCCTATAGTCCCAGCTACTTAGGAGGTGGAGATTGGGAGAATCATAGTCTGAGGCTGGCTTTGGGCAAAAATGTGAGCCCCTATCTGAAAAATAAAGTAAAAAAGGGCTGGGAGTGTGGGTCAAGGCTAAGAGTGCTGGGCCTAGCAAGCACAGGACCTTGAGTTTAAACTTGGTAGTTACTGTCTCCTTGTTGTCCTTGTAACATGATGCCAAGTTACAGAAGAGCACACCTTCAGGTGACTGATTATTTATTAAATGATGAAAACAAGTCATATACATTCTATTTTAGCCATTTCTGAGTGAGCAAATTCATTGGCATTAATTACAGTCACAATGCCCCTGTACTCATCACCACTATCCATTGCCTCTTTCACCCCCCAAAATTGCAGCACTGTACCCTGCTTCCTGCCCCTTCCCATGTCTGGCAACCACCAGTCTACTTAACTTGTCCATTATAGGTAACTCGTAAGTGGAATCTCATGATACTTAGCCTCCTGTTTCTGGTTTATGTCACTCAGCATTGTGATTTCAAGATTCCAGTTCATCCATATTGTAGTATATATTAAAATTTGATTCTTTTTGAAAATGGCTGAATATTATTCCTTTGTGTGTCACATTTTTTTAATCCATTCATCTGTTAGTGAACACTTGAGTTCTTTCCATCTTTATCTGTTGTGAATAAGCTGCTGTTGAAATTATACATGACTGATTTTTAGCCAATATTTATGTGGTAGAAAATTATGGTTAGTTTTATATGACTCCAACTTCAACTGACTGCTTCTAGGCAGGAGACTGGGCAGTACAGTATTTTTGCTTTAATAATATCTCAGTTGCTGGATCCTATTGACATAGAATAATATTCTTTACCTTTATTTCCAGAAACTCATAAGTAACTGAAGAATACTGAAGCTAAATTTATCTCCTAGTTTAGTACTCTTGTTAACTCTGTACATGTACTGATGGTTGCCTTGTTCTCAGTTTTAGTAGTACAAACAGCCATGCTGCCGAACAGTGAGCATAATCAGGTCCCCAGCTTGGTGTGACCTTGGGAAAGTTACTCATTTCTTGTGAATCAAATGGAGTTTGGCAGCAAGATCTCAACTGGATGAAGCAGGATATAAATAAATACATATTTTTATTTTAAAAAGTAGCAACAAAAATCTGAGCACATGATACTGGCAGTGTGCCAAGTGCTTTGTTTTATTTGTGGTGCTAGGGATCCAACACAGGGCCTTGTACAATGCTAGGCAAGTACTCTGCCTCTGAGCCATGTCACTACCCCTTCTTTTGAGACAAGGTCTTGCTATGTTGCCCAGGCTTGTCCCAATTTCCTGGGCTCAAGTGATCCCTCTTGCCCTAGCCTCCCAAGTAGCAGGAGTTATAGTCTTGTGCCACTGCTCCCTAAGTAGTGCTATTTTAACCTCACTTAACTGACAAGGAAACTGAGTCTCAAACTAGGTAACTTCCAAAGATCTCAGTGAGGAAAGGTCAAAACAGGTGTGTGCAGTGCTCTCACCACTGTGCTTCCCTGCCTACCACACCTCAGAAGTCTCCTTCCTGCTGGGGGCTTTATGAGGCTTCCAAAAGACTCTTCACAACCATTACTTCAAACCATTTGGTGTCTCAGAAACTTGTTTCTGTTGTGCCATAATGTTTTTTCTCCTAAAATCCCTCCCCACTTATAGCTATTAGAAAATTTGTCTGTCCTTGTGGTTTATGTCAGCTGTGTGTCAGTAGCCTTCAGTGTTCTGGATTCAAACAAAGGAAGTGAAGTGGTTTTGTGTGGGAACAATGGCTCCTGTTCCCGGATGTCAGTGTGGTGGTGGTGGTTTTCAATTTCCATTCTGCTGTCAGCACAGACTTCCATAAGTGGTGCCCTCCCTAGTTAGTACATGAGCAGTCACTAGGATTCTTCATATTCTGCCATTCAGTCTCAAAAGAAGACTGTTCTTGCCTTCTAGCTCATCTCTTAGAAGAAATGAGTGATCCAGTTTTCCTTTCCCAGTAGACTATGCCTTGAGATTACATCTTATCAGATCTAAATATAGGAAAGGTTGATGTGAAGGTAGAAAAATGACCCAATTGAGGGCCATCCTAGAAAATTACTAGCTACTTCTCTTCACAAGTTTGAAGGTCATGAGAGACCAAAATGGGGTGAAAGTTGAGTGCTGGGCTGGAGGCTGGTCCAGAAAACTCTCTAGTGGGACAGCTGCAGGAATGTGGATAAGGCTTGAGGTCTTGTTAACAGTTGTGTCTGCCTGCCTCACAGAGTACGAACTCCCTAGGACCAGTGGCCATGTCCAGGCCATCCTTTCTCCTCGGAGTGGCTGGCTGGCATGATACATTCCACAGGAGTACGCCACTTGCCAGTGGCATCTGATGAAATGAGAGTTTCCACATAAACTAAAGGATGAAATGAGAGTTTCCACATAAACTAAAACTACTCCTGAAGTAGAAATGTTTGTCTTTTACCAAAAGGAAGAGAAACCATTAGGCTGCCTGCCCCTATATCAGGTTTCGCTGTGAAAAGTAAGAATCCAGCCATAGGTGGAGCCTATTTCTTTTGAAACTACCCTTTCTGAGCTGCTTCTTTAAGTAGAAGTTGGCCTGCAAATTCTTCTCTAACTAGAGGAGAAACAAGGTGCTAACCATGCTGTCACTGTTCCTTTGTTGGTTTGGTGTGGCAAGGTCACTGGTTTAATCTTGTATGTTAACAAAATAAAGAAATTTATAAAATAAAAAGGCATTATCCAGAAAAACAGACTGCTTACTTTGGCATCTATTGAGATATTTGCAGCCTCACACTTAGCTCATCCAGAACCTGTGTTGGCCATGAGTAGACTCTTGTGGGAAGAAAGAAGATGTGTCGCAGCATATTTATTTATGTCTGGTCAGGAATAGTCTGTTTTGGTGAAGCTGCCCCTAGTTGTCATTTTGATGTTTTAAAAAGGATGGTTGTACATCCTGAGAGACAATATGATGTGGAGTTAGAAGACCTAGTTCTGAGTGCTCATGCTCCGATTTATAACTTGTCTCCTGTTACCAGCTGTTTTCACATTTGGAAAATGGAAATTATAACTTGCCCTGTTTGATCATAGGGATGAACAAGTATATTTAAATGCCATATATTGGTTGTATAAAGTGTTATGCAAGTATGTGATGAGATTTTTCAGCTAGGGAAATAGCACTGGAATCCTTAATGCATACTGTGAGCTGTCCAGCAGGGATAGGCCAGGTGGATTCTATTGAGAGAATTATGTTTCAGCCATTGAGGAAGTCCAAGCAGGATTGAAAATCTGCTTCGTAGATAATTCTGAAAAAAAATTTTTTAATGGGTTCCTTGTAAATGATGAAGAATGTCAGTGAATTGGAAACATTTTAATCTTGTAATGTTTTATTATCATTTTTAAGCTACAACTTAGATTCCCAGGTAATCTAAACTAGGAATAGAAATGTTTACTGTTCCCTGAGAAGAGGACCCACCTCCTACCCCACCCCATTACCATCTTCCTTTCTCAGAAGCAAAGTTGTATAATCTGAAAAACCTGACATTCCATATTGAAGGTTTATTGTAAGGTAGTAAAACCAGATTTTATATCTCGTTTATTCCTACAACTTCTGATGTGCTTCCAAAAATGGTATTAAGGCAGCAGCTGAGGAAATTTTATGAGATAATGAAGCAGAACAGTTACTGAAAGCCATCTGCTCAGTTGTTTACAAACTTGCTCCAATACTTCAGAGGCAATGGTAGGGTACGTGTCTAAACTTCACAAGCTGCACTAGGTAGAACTAAATGAAGTGCGCCTGGGCTGGGCTGAGCACGGTCCCTCTCTGTGCAGCATGAGCGGTTGCCAGGCAGGCTGTTGGAAGCCAGCAGAAAGCACCACACAGAGGTGATTATGTGCCACCATCTGTCACGCTTCAAGCCTACCATACAGCATGGCTAATCAGCCTTGGCAGGATGATGGATGAACAGCAGCAGCTGCCAAAAGCCACTGTTGGCAAACAGTCCTGAAGTTAAGAACTTTTTCCCCCTCTGTCTTCCTCTCCAGGGTCCTGCTGCGTGTCCGCATGCTGTACTACCTAAGACAAGAAGTGATAGGAGACCAGGCGGATAAGATCCTAGAGGGTGCTGACTCAAGGTTGGTGCAAGTACACATTTGTTCTGTGCCTCCATAAGGTAATCCAGGTAGTTGGAAAACATTGTGGGCTGTTTCAGAGACTTCACAAACCATTAGTACTAGCTCACCTCCTTTGCATCTTGAATGCAAGTGTTTGTCCTCTGAGCTTGGAGATGTGATGAGAATCAGGAAAAGGCTGTTTGTATATAAAAAGGTGTGAACTAAATTACTGGTATTCTGAGGTGACTTTTACAATGTGACAAAGTTCATTTCTGGCCATGGTGGAGAACGACCAATGTATATCCTTTCTTTCACCTTCACTGGTTCCTCCCCACCATGCTTACATATTTATTGTCAGGGAGAGGGCATGTGAGTGCATTTATAGTGTTCACTACTGGGAATAAGAATTCTTTTTAACACTAGAATGTCTTTTAAATACTGTTTAAACCATTGTCTTTTTTAGTGAAGCAGATGTGTGGATCCCTGAACCTTTCCATGCTGAAGTTCCTACAGATTGGTGGGATAAGGAAGCAGATAAATCCCTCTTAATTGGAGTGTTCAAACATGGTAAGTGATGTTCTATTTGAGTACATCTTGACTGTATGGCTTTGTCGTTATTTAGAACTCTTTGCAAACTCCTTTCCAAAGTCATAATATTAATGAGGATAGTTCCAAAGGACTCTTGGCGCCTACCATTTTTCTGTACTAAAAATCTAATATGAACTGTAAATATCAGATGCTGTTTTTGAATGTTTGTTGAGTATTTGAGAAGAAAACATTTCTTTCTTGGCTGTAAATAGAACCCAAACCATATTTGTTTCAATAATAGCCAAGTTGTGCTATACCTCTCCCTAAACTTTGCTTCCAGCCGGCTTCCCTCGCTAACTCTGCCAGGCAGTGTCAGAGTGGACGGTGGGCTTAACCTCTGCTATTAATCTGTACAAGTGCCTCCTGGGCTTTGTTCCAAGCAATATTTCACAAATGTCAGTGCTGAGGACTCGCCGCTCCCCCGAGTGGGATGCAGCCTTGTTAACTTTGAAAGGCTGGGGATGCAGAACTGGCATGATATATACAGTGAGCGATTCCTGATTATAATCCCAATTCTCTGGAGGTCGTGGAGGTATTCTCAGCAGCCCAGCCTGACTAAAGGGGAGAATGATGGCTTATAAAACCTTTCATGATTGCAGTTTGGCTTGCGGCTCTACAGCAGTTAGGAGCAGTGTGTTGTAGCACATATCCTAATTGAATTGTGCTGTTCTGCCTATGTACTGCAGCCACATTTTGTGAGCTCTGCCTCAAAATCATTTTCCCGCAGTGCACTGTTGGGATCTGCCATTTTCCATCTAGTCAACTTGGGCAGTCAAAAAGCAAATTACAGTTTGAAAACCATAGAGGGAACAGTGTCATCTTACTGACATGCATCATCCTAAACCTAATAAGACAGGTTCGCTGGCCTTATGTATACGGGGATTTTTCAGCTAGCCATGTGAGCTCCTACAGGACCAAAACTATTCAAGGAGGATGGGGGGTAGACTTAGAGTACCCCTGCAGAGGTCATAAAGGAACATTACGAAGCCTTTTAAATGTCAAGCAAAATTAGATCTTGGAAAAAATAGGATCAGAAATTCTTCCAGGTATCCTGCAATTATTCTGAACCTGTTTTTGTATTTGTATTTGTGGTAATTCTGCTAGTATCCCTGAAGTGTAACTTGTCCCCCTCCCCCAACAAACTTCCCTAGAATGAGCATTCTGTAGGAATGAAATCTAAATCTAAAGTGAAATCTATTCAGTTCAACATAGATGAGAGTCTTTTTTCTGAGAAACGAACTTGGTGTGTTGTGGCAGTGCAGTGATTTTGACAGTGACAGGCCCTTTCTTTGTTTCTGTGTTTATCCTCTGTGGACTGGTGGGCATGGCCCAGGCTATGAGAAGTATAACTCCATGAGAGCTGACCCCACACTGTGCTTTCTGGAACGAGTTGGTATGCCTGATGCCAAGGCCATAGCTGCTGAGCAGAGAGGGACAGACATGCTAGCAGATGGTGGTGACGGGTAAGAAGGACATATTAAAATATTAATAAACTTTCTGTCAGTGTCACATCTATTGATTCAATTCTTACGCTGCACTTCACACTGCATTGTCTCCAATTTGAACTTAATCAGTGTTTACTAGTATATTCAAGGTGTATATCATAATAAGTGAACAAAGTAATCTAGGTAACCCAAAACTTACCTCTTCCAAGTGCCATCCCACCTGCAACCAACCCTCTATGGCTGCATGTTTTAAATCCTGATAAGAGTTATTTTTTATATCAAATCCAGAATTAAAAGTAGTATTAGGCAGATTGCTCCTCTTCCCCTCCCCCCACTTACTGGTGTGATTTAAACAAATTTTTTTTTTTAAACAGTGGAGAATTTGATAGAGAAGATGAAGACCCTGAATATAAGCCAACTAGAACACCATTCAAAGATGAAATAGATGTAAGAATTGAGTATATTGGCTTTTACAGTGCCATTAAAGTATTACATGTTTATAAAAGACTTGCTAAACTTTGTAGATAGTGGCCTTATTTTTTAAAAGATAAAACAAAATGAAACCCCAAATTAACATAACTGTTTCTTGCTTTGCTCAAGGAATTTGCAAATTCTCCTCCGGAGGATAAGGAAGAGTCCATGGACTTGCATGCCACAGGTGAGGCCCCAGAATAGCCCATGGAATAGAGCAAATATGTGCTGGGCAGTTCTTGTTTGGGCCACAGGCCTTGGGCCACTCTGTGATGGTGGTGTATCAGAATGTTACTCTTCTGCACTCACCCATCTCTTGTGAACAGTTTAATGCTTATGGCCAATTTTTTTATTGCATTTAATTTCTGTGATAGAATCTATATAGATAGATCTATTTATTTATATTTTTAATTATTTATACATTTATTCATATGTGTATACATTGTTTGGGCCATCTCTCCCCCCGCCCCCCATCTCCACTCCTCCTCCTCCCCCACCCCCCTCACTTCCAGGCAGAAGATAGATCTGTTTATATTCACACTAATTAATTAAAATTTTTTAGCATCTTTGAACTATATTGCAAGCATATATTTCAACTGTTTTGCCATTTGCTGTTTGAAATGTTGCCCATTAAGAATATTGACCTTCTACCTAATGAAAAATCATTATGTGACGATTACATAATTCTTTGTTGTGTTCAAGATTATTATTTTAAGCACATTACAGGAGAGACCCTTACTTATAGTTCATGCTGTATAATATGCTTCTTTATGTAAGACTGATAAATAAACTTGGTTTTCCTCCTTCTAAAGAGTTAAAAAAAGAGTAGTTTGTAAGTTTCATGCTCATAGTTTTATTGTTTATTTATATTTTAAGAACGATGGCACTGAGATACTGTTTCCCACACTGTCATTTGAATCCTAATGAGTCATCTTGTTTTGTTGGAAAATCCTGTGTATTGCAAGATTGCAACAACACTTTTCAAAATTATTTCTTCCACTTCCCCAGGCAAGCACAGTGAGAGTAATGCTGAGTTAGGCCAACTTTACTGGCCTAACACTTCAACCCTGACTACGCGTCTGCGCCGGCTCATTACTGCCTATCAGCGCAGCTATAAAAGGCAACAAATGAGGCAAGAGGCCTTAATGAAGACTGACCGGCGTAGACGGCGGCCTCGGGAGGAAGTGAGAGCGCTAGAGGCGGAAAGGGAAGCTATTATATCTGAGAAACGGCAAAAGTGAGTTTCTTCAGGGTTCACTCAACTCCCCATGTGTTCCCTCCTCTCTGCTCTTCTAGGTCCACAAGAGACCACAGTCACTTCAAAGATAGTGGCCAGCAAAGAAAGGCTCGATGTGTCCAAGGAGTCTTATCTTCCCAAACCCAAATAAGTACTGTGAACACTGGGTCTGGGGAAAGAGAAAAGGAAAGAATCAGCCTTATGCCTTTTTCCCTCTGGTGCAATATGAGCCTATGTATTCTTTCTCACAGGTGGACAAGAAGAGAAGAAGCTGATTTTTACCGTGTGGTGTCCACCTTTGGGGTTATTTTTGACCCCGTGAAACAGCAGTTTGACTGGAACCAATTCCGAGCCTTTGCCAGACTTGACAAAAAGTCTGATGAGAGTTTGGAGAAATACTTCAGCTGCTTTGTGGCCATGTGCAGGCGGGTCTGTCGAATGCCAGCCAAGCCAGACGATGGTAGGTACATTTGCTAGCAACGTTCTGTACTAGATGACACAAGGCAGTGAGAAAGTGTGCAGGTTAAGGTATGTGCTTGGGGCTTTCCCAAGTAAATGCAAGTGCTTCCATGTTACAGAGCCTCCTGACCTCGCCTCCCTGATTGAGCCCATCACAGAGGAACGGGCCTCTAGAACTTTGTACCGCATTGAGCTGCTACGAAAGATCCGTGAGCAGGTCCTGCACCACCCGCAGCTGGGAGAGAGGCTGAAGCTCTGCCAGCCCAGCCTGGATCTTCCCGAGTGGTGGGAGTGTGGAAGGCATGACCGGGACCTACTGGTTGGTGCTGCTAAGCATGGGGTCAGTCGGACAGACTACCACATCCTCAACGACCCCGAGCTGTCCTTCTTAGATGCACATAAAAACTTTGCTCAAAACCGAGGGGCAAGTAACGTCTCTTCCTTGAACCCACTGGCTGTGGGCTTTGGCCAGACTCCTCCAGTTGTCTCATCAGTTCACAGTCACGAAGAGAAGGTACTGGAACAAGTTGAAGGCAAAATAGAAGAGTCTGAAAACTCGACAGCCAAAGAGAGGTCTCAGGGGAAAAATGAGGAAGAAGAAGCTGATGGTGGGGGCAAGGACAGCAAGCAGGAATGTGAGGTGGAGGACAGCTCTGTGAAGAGTGAGCTGAAAGGGGCTGAGGGCAGTGCAGAACCTGGGTCCAAGCCTGTCTCGGAGAAAGGCTCTGAAGAGGACGAAGAAGAAAAGCTGGAGGATGATGATAAGTCGGAGGAGTCATCCCAGCCTGAAGGTAATGCCTGGCTGCTTGGACTATGTCCCAGTCCTTAGTAACTCCCTGTGGGATGCACTGTTGTATTGTCACAGCACACCACAAGTTCTCTTTTCTTTGTTCAGGACTGGGGATTGAACCCTGGGCCTCATGCTTATTAGCCAGCGGCTCTGTCACTGGAACCATGCCCTCAGACCTGTGGTTTATATTTTATTTTTGAGATAGGTCTTGCTAACTTTGTCCAGGCTGACATTGAACTCTAAAGCCTCTACCTTCCTAGTAGCTGAAATTATAGGTGTACACTGCCATGCCCAGTTCTTTTTATTTTTTTAAGAGTAATTAGCATCCACTTTCCTTCTGTGAAAGGATAAATTCCTGTTATGGTTGGATGTATTTTTCCTTCATACTTTACCACACACAAGCATGATATTTCAAACAATGTAAGCTCTAAGAATAGTTATGCATACACATTAACTTCTGGTTTAAGGGTAGAGGTTAACTTCATAGTCGGGTGTCTTAAGAATTCCATGTGATGTTAATTTGGGCAAATCCATGTGAAGAAAGAGTCATTCTCTGAGTAAATACTGTTAATTATTTTAAAGCAAATGATACTGTATTTTGTTTTAATTCAGAAATAAAGAGTAAAAGTAGAATCTGAAAATAAGTTTTTTTTGTCAGATAGATTGCTGTAATTGTTACAAAGTAGAAATAGGGCTCCATTTTGTTACTGACCTGCTGTAGTGGAACCTTCTACGTCATTCAAAACCTTAGACTTAGTCCTGTGCAGAAGGACAGAGGCTCTTTAATCAGAGACGTCGTTGGCTTTCAAGCCTCCACTAAGATTTACTGGCACAGTGCCAGGTGGCTAGTGATGAGACTTCTGTCAGCTTCTGCTTCTTCATCTATAAGGTAAAAACAATACCCCCTGCATTAAAGGGGGCCTTTACAGCCTTTAGATGAAAAGATGTGTAAAAGGTCCTATACCATTCTAGATGTGTGGTAGGTGCTCAATAAAATGGAGTGGTTGGAATTCATATCTGCAATGTTGTCCTTTCTGAACTCTCAGTGATATTTTGGTTGTGAGTAATGCACATTAACTCATTTCTCAGCAGGAGCTGTCTCTAGAGGGAAGAATTTTGATGAAGAAAGCAATGCCTCTATGAGTACTGCTAGGGATGAAACGCGAGATGGATTCTACATGGAGGATGGAGATCCTTCAGTAGCTCAGCTCCTTCATGAAAGAACATTTGCCTTCTCATTTTGGCCTAAGGTTGGCGGGTTTTTGTGGTTTCTGTTGACCAAAAACAAGCAAGGGACAGGAAATCTTTATAACTTGATTTTTCAGATAATTCTAAGGTAAACATTGACACAGTGTAGGAACTGTAGATTTTTCTTATGTTTTAAAAAAGTGATCTTAAAAACAAAAAAGGAAAAAATAAGACAACTACTTTTGTAATAGGATAAGAAAGATAAATAATACTGATCATATCTGGCTCCTTGGAGCATTTTAGATCCATCACCCATGTTGTTCAGTAGAATCTATGACTTACTGTTTCAGTGGATTCATCTATGGATCAAATACAATGTGTGAACCTTTAAAATTGTGTTTAAAAAATTGTTTTTACTCTTAAGCAAGGCTTTCAGATTTAAGATATTTAAAAACCTACTGTATTGTTAACCAAAAAGGATGAGTAGTTGCCCATTTCCAAATGTAGTTATCTATAACCAAAAACAATGGAAATTGCCCTTTTTTTTTTTTTTTTTAGTTAAATAGCCTAATTTTATAATAAGTCCCTGTACCATTTGGGTCTGTCTTTCCAGGGTGGTGAAGTAATCATTCCAATCACCGTAACAGGGTTGTTTGGTTTAAAATGAGCAAGTAGGCTTCTGTCAACTCATCCCCAGGCTGGTCTTCACAGAATTTGTGTAGCTTAGAAAACAAGGTGAAATTTTGAGCTGAAAAGTGTAGTTGTCAATGAGACTTTCTTCCCTTTCTCCATATCCCTTCAGTTCCCCTGTTATACTAATCTCCCTTATTGATTGTAGAAGGGGGTTGCTCAGATCAGTCAAAAGTTTATAGTAGCAGGCATGTCTAATCTATGGAAACTTGTTCTAAGTGCTGTAATTAGAAAATTTTAATGTGCACGCTTCAATGAAATTTGGAGCTCTAATAGGTGGGGAATGAAATTGACATTCATTAGGTGTTCCTACGTTGGTGCCCACTGACAATGCTGAGCTTTATTAATAGTGACGCTAATGAGGTCCCCTTCCTGGGACATAGGGCACTCCTGCCTGTAGATCTGAAGGGCCCAAGCGGTGAGATGCTAAGCTCCGGGTCTCCATTGTCATCTACTGATGCTCACCAGCGGTTCTTGATGGAGTCTGAATGAGAGTTACTTTTAGAATATGAGGTTATTTTGAAGGTGGTGGTTATTTAATATATTTCCTATATAGTCTCAATCTTGATGGTTGAAAAATAGTATTTTTTTTTATTGGAGCTATCTAGGTCCTCCCACCAGAGCAAAACCATTTTGGTGGGTGGTGTTTATTTATCATTTGGCTTTTTACTTTGTTTTCTTTTCTTCTCTGCCACTACTACCAACTAACTGTTAAGCATTGGTGCTCTTTAGCATATTGATGGATTTATTTATCTAGTAATTTTAGCCAGGTCTTTGTTACAATTTCTTGCGACTTTTCTTCTCCCTCCAGGATAGAGTAATGATAAACCGATTAGACAACATCTGTGAAGCAGTGTTGAAAGGCAAATGGCCAGTAAATAGGCGCCAGGTGTTTGATTTCCAGGGCCTCATCCCTGGTTACACACCCACCACTGTGGACAGTCCCCTGCAGAAGAGGAGCTTTGCGGAGCTCTCTCTGGTCGGCCAGGCCAGCATTAGTGGGAGTGAAGACATCACTACTTCTCCTCAGCTGTCAAAGGTGAGTTAGAGCTGTTTATTTTTACAGTTTAAAGCAAAGCTAAGTCATCTGGGTGCCAGTGGCGCATGCCTGTAATCCTAGCTACTCGGGAGGCAGAGATCAGGAGAATCGAGGTTTGAGGCCAGCTGGGCAGATAACTTGTGAGACTTTATCTCAAAAATATCCAATACCAAAAAGGGATGGCAGAGTGACTCAGGTGGTAGAACACCTGCCTAGCAAGCATGAGGCCATGAGGCCCTAAGTTCAAAACCTGGTACCACCAAAAACAAACAAAAAAAAAGCAAAGCTAAGTCTTAACTCAGTTTGGGAGCTTGTGTTTCTTTGCTCCTATTTGTTTTTGTTTGTTTTTGAGATGGGGACTCACTTTGTGACCCAGGCTGACCTCAAACTTCTGGACTCAAGTTATCCTCCTGCCTCCACCTCCCAAGTAGTTGGGGCTACTGATGTGCAGTGCCATGCCTAGCTGACTGGTTTCACTTGGAAATAAGATGGTTGCTTTTTTCCCAGCTCCGGCTACCAGTCTTAAACAATTCCTTAGGCTTCTCGTTTCTTAATTCAAGTGTCATCCCCTGTAGTGGTTATACTCTTGGCTCATTGCAATTATTGTGTTCAATAGGAAGATGCCCTCAACCTCTCTGTCCCTCGTCAGCGACGGAGGAGAAGGAGAAAAATCGAAATCGAGGCCGAAAGAGCTGCCAAGAGGCGAAATCTCATGGAGATGGTTGCTCAGTTGCGAGAGTCTCAGGTGGTCTCAGAAAATGGACAAGAAAAAGTTGTAGATTTATCAAAGGCCTCACGAGAGGCAACAAGTTCTACCTCAAATTTTTCATCTCTTACTTCAAAGTTTATCTTGCCTAATGTCTCGACACCAGTGTCTGATGCCTTTAAGACTCAAATGGAACTGCTCCAAGCAGGCCTTTCACGCACACCCACAAGGCATCTGCTTAATGGCTCCCTAGTGGATGGAGAGCCTCCACTGAAGAGGAGACGGGGCAGGAGGAAAAACGTGGAGGGCCTTGATCTGCTTTTCATGAGCCACAAACGGACGTCATTAAGTGCGGTAAGTTGGGGAGCTCAGTCTCCTGCTTGTGCCCTGCCAGCAGTCAGGGGCCCTACACTGCTGGCAGTGCTAGCCTGTGTTCTCTTAGCAACATAATATTAAAGTTGGCCTCTTCTACCAGAGAAGCAGAATTACAATGAACAGAGTCATGGCTCTGAGCTGGAAAATTGTGTTGATTCCTGATACAGATCGTTTGCCCTGAACCAAGTACAGCTTGACAGTTTATTCTTCCTGAGGTTCTTATATATTGATTGCTCTTGGAAAGATAGCCCAAAACAAAAACATATTTTTCTGAGCCTGGAATTGTTATCTCTGAATTCTTGAGGTGGAAAAAGCTTCTGCTTCTAAAAATATTGATGTTTGGGGCCTAGCATTGATTAGATTAATATAAATGTTTAGTTTCAGATTTAAGATTTTTATTCATGTATAAAAACTAGTGACTGCAAATGCTCTGAACAGCTGCTGGTTTTAAAATTCTGAGCTGCATCTAGTTTAGGTTTGAATGAAATGTGTGGGCCAATGGATTTTTTTACTTTTCCTTTTACAACTTAAAGGAAATGGATGCAATATAATCAAAATAATTCTCTTTCCCTATCTGCCTCAACCATGCCACCCCAAAAAAATGTGCATCTGATGATTAATTGATGACAAGGATTTTACCCCAGAGAACTCGATTACACATGCTGTTTCTTTAAAGGATTATTTAGTACTCGATATTCTGGTCCTATCAATTTGAATCCTAATGGACGTAGTCACACTGGAGCTGGGCCACTGCGAACCTTTCCATGGGCAGCGAGACAGTTTAGAAAACACTACAGTTTGAGATTAAGAGCAGGCAGTTATTTTTTCAGCATGTTTCTCCTTTTCCCATCCTTGTTATCATTTGCCCATTTTCTATTTCTTGAACCTAGAAAAAGCTTAACTAAAAAGGCAGGAAAGGATAGGGTTGAGAAATGACAATAGATCATTCAGTGAAATCTGTGTGCCCCTTGGTGGCTATAAAACAGAAGTATCCAGGCAGTTACGGGTTAACTTTCAAAACTGGTTACTAATACACAAGTCAGAAAACTGGGTATAGTTGTTGATTAGTTGTTGATAGGTGTTTAGACTCTTGTACAAATACTCTTTGTAATGTGTCAGCTGTGACTTAATGTGAGTTCCATAACTTAGAGTGTGTTTTTAGAGGCCTGTCAGTCACTTGTATCACTGGTTTTAGCCTATGTGAAACACTTGGATAGATAAGCACTTTGGTGGATTTTGTTAGCTCAAAAATCTTTTTTACATAAACATCAGAAACTAAACTCAAGACTGACTTTATTCATTTCACTTATTTTAAGCCATCACCAAAAATTTACAGGTACTTGTCTTTTTTCAGAAAAATAGACTTTAGAAGTCACATTTAGCAACCTGGCTTATTTATTTACTTACTTATTTGTTTATTTTGTTGATACTGGTAATTGAACACAGGGCCTCTGGCTTGCTAGGCAAACACTCTACCACTAGAGTCATACACCCAACCTAGAGAATGCATTTAAGGTCTTTTGTTTTTAATGTTAAAGTTTGGAATTTGGGGATTCCCCATTTGGTGGAGTAGAGGTTGATGGAAGAAAAATGCTGATCTACTAATAAAGTGAGTAGTGGAGATTGTAAGGGTCAGCACTGTGGAGTAGGACATACTCTAAAATCTTACATCAGCACTGGAATAGAAAGAGTGCTACCAAGAAGATTAAGGGTGCCTCTAGCAACATGGTGGAAGCTGACCTTGTTTTCTGTGCCAGGCACTGGGATTCAAAGAATAAAGGCCTGACATGAGAGGACTCACACTAGAAAACTCACTGTTTGGGGTGAGATGACTAAAAATACAGGTTGAGCATTCCTGATGCAAAAATCCAAAGTGCTCCAAAATCTGAAACTTTTTTTTTTTTTTTTGGTGGTACTGGGGCTTGAACTCAGGGCCTATACCTTGAGCCACTCCACCCAGCCCATTTTTGTGATGGAGTTTTTTGAGCTAGGGTCTCACAAACTATTTGCCCAGGCTATCTTCGAACCATGATCCTCCTGATCTCTGCCTCCTAAGTAGCTAGGATTACAGGCATGAGCCACCAGCACCCAGCTCAAAGTCTGAAACTTTTCGAGTGCCGGTATGACACTATATGTAGAGAATTCCACATCTGACTTCATGTGAAAGGTTTCAGTAAAAACACATGCACTAAAAATATTGCATAGAATTGTGAATTCCATGTTTAGACTTGAGTTTCATGGCCAGTATATCTCAGGATGCACATGCAAATATTGCAAAATCCACAAAAGGGCAAAACCTGAAATACTTCCTCTGGTTCCAGGTATTTTCAGATGAGGGAGGGTCACCTTCAAGTGACATAGTGTAGTTGTATATGTGTGCTGTGACCAAGGCATGACTGAGGTACTTTGTGGGCCCAAAGGAAGCATGGAAGTAGAGAAGGAGCACCCACAAGGAAATTTCCTTAGAGAGGGCCATACGTTGGTTAAATTTTGAAGTTGATGGTTGGAGCAGAGGGGCAGAGGCAAGAAAGAACCTCTCATGTCTGCTGAACTGAAAGTTTTCTGGGGAGTTTGGAGAGGAGGTTACTTCAGCTGACAGGAGATAGAGATAAGGCAGAACACAAATTGTGGAGGGCCTTCATTGCCATGCTGCAGAACTTGGATTCATCCTAATGGCAGTAGGGATCCAGTTATTAGAGTAGTGAAGTAGGGAAGTGATTGATGGAAGTTTTTGAACTGGGTAGTGCTGTCTGCATCTTAGAAAATTCAACCCAGTGTAGCAGCATGGAAGGCTTGGTTGAAGAGTGCTGGAAATAAGATAGGAAAGTTGCATGAACACAGTGGGAAAAGACTAAGTTCTGGGGATGGAGAAGTGGGTGACTGGTGGTTTTAAGACTAGTGGCTGGATGATGGTGGAATGTTGGGCTTCTGTTAAGGTTGTTCTTTCTGATGTTGCCACATAAACTTTATACAAGACATTGTTCTACCAACAAAATTGTACTGTCCACAAAGTGCCAGGAAGTTACTTATAAACTGACTTTTTGGCCATTATCCAGTGATCCCCAAAAGGGACAGAGAGCTGACTTTCATGCACATGTAGGTCAGCCCACATACCACCCTGGTTGTAGTCCTAGTGGCTTGCTTAACATTTCAAAGCATGAAACCTTGATGAACTTTGAATTTTCTGCCTGATTAGTAATTCTACCTTGTGAAGAATGATGTGAAAGTATCATCTTCTAATTGAATAGTCCTTTTTTATGAAAGATCCAGTTCCCTTTTTAATGAAAGATCCATTTGGCTGGGAGAGCTTTTTCTTGAGAAATTTTCAGAATCTCTCTCTATGTGAGAATTCAGACCATTTCCAACTCTCTACAGGAAGATGCTGAGGTGACCAAAGCTTTTGAAGAAGACATAGAAACCCCACCAATAAGAAACATTCCTTCTCCCGGACAGCTGGACCCAGACACGCGGATCCCTGTTATAAATCTTGAAGATGGGACGAGGCTGGTGGGGGAAGATGCTCCTAAAAACAAGGATTTAGTTGAGTGGCTGAAGTTGCATCCTACTTACACTGTTGACATGCCAAGTTATGTACCAGTAAGTATTACAGAGTTTGGAGTTGGCAGGAACCTTTCTGGGCCAGGACACTTCATTCCCATCTGACATGGAAACCTCTGACAGCTGGTCCCTCTGCCTTTTGTGTGAATGTCTCCTGGTCCTAAACATATCCCAGGCTTTTGTTGTGTCTTCTGCATCAGAGAAATTAGCTGCAGGATTGTTGAAACCCTACTGTTACTTGAAGATGTCTGTTACTCATTTTTGTACTTCTTCTTTCCCCCACTAACAAATGAGATTTCTTCATCTGGTATAGTTTCCAGGTTGTCTCAGCATTGAGACAGTCTTAAATATACTTTCACTGGACTTGAGACAAGGCCAGAGCAGTCCAGAGTGCTATAAAGCTATTTTCTCTAGAGATTTGACCAGTTAATTTAGCCCAAGATTTTATTAACTACTTTGAAAGCTACTAACCCTTCTATCTTCTATTAAACTCCAGGCAGTTAATATCTCCAGATGATTGCTCACATAAACTGCTTGCTAGCTGGCAACACAAGTCTTCTACTTTCTGTATTTATGTAATTGATGTCTTTAAGCTTGAAAAACACAGAAAACCCTACATTTAAATTTAAAGACAGTTCAGTGTAGTTCAGCTGTTGGCTACTGAGAATACACTCCCTCCCCAAAGATCCTTTTTTCCTTTGCTTGGCTCTCTTCATGGACAAAAATCTCATCAGATAGAATATCACTTCTGTGTTCAGTCAAGTCACTGACTTGAAATTAGTAAAGTTACTGCAGAAAATTTCCTTTAAAAAAAAGAAATAACCATAATTAGGTTAAACATTTGAAGAAAACCTTTTTGTTTTGGGATTAGGTGTCGCTATGTAGCCTAAACTGCCTTCAAACTCTTTCTGCCTCCCGAGTGCTGGGAGTATACCTGGGTTTTTTTGTTTGTTTGTTTTGCTTTTGGTGGGACTGACTGCGATTTTCAATTTAGGGCTTTCATGCTTGCTGGGTAGGCCCTCTACTGCTTGAGCCATACTACCTCCAGCCCTTTTTAAGTGATTATTTTTGAGGCATGGTCTTACTTTTTGCCAGGAATGTCTAGTCTAGACCCACCTATTTTACACTGCCCTCCTTAGGTGGGACAGGCATGCAGCACTATGTCCCGGTTTTGCTTGAGATGGGGTCTTGCAAATTTTTGCCTCCCAAGTAGGTAGGATTACAGGGATGATCCACTGGCACCTAGTAGTGCACCTGGTTTTGGAGGAAACTTAAGTGTGGTACTTGACTAAGCAAACTGTCAGCTTACGTACGTGTTGGTTCCTTGGTGAACAGTGGGGATGAGGAGTTGTGTAGCTGTCAATGAAAAGTAGGGTTTCTGTCACATGAAAATGATTCTTGAACTCTCATAATTGAAAGCGACTTGACCATGCTTATTGGCATTTATATAAGAAGGGGTAAGTGCTAAATAGTTTTACTAAGTACATTTTTTTCCTTTGCAGAAGAATGCAGATGTGCTGTTTTCCTCGTTTCAGAAACCGAAACAGAAACGACATAGATGTCGAAATCCTAATAAATTGGATATAAACACTTTGACAGGAGAAGAAAGGGTGCCTGTTGTTAATAAACGAAATGGGAAGAAGGTAAGTGTTGCAAAAGGAATTGTTAGAGATTTCTTATCTCAAGAAGAGTGTTTTATCCTGTCATCACTGATAAGGAAGAAGATCCTTGTTTCTTCTAGAATATATGTGTGTGGATGGATGGATGGGAAGGAAAGATGGATAGGGAAGGAGGGAGAAGTCAGGGGAAGACTGAAAGACTGGGTTTTTAATCATTTGTTAAATGCCTCTTGACAGATGGGTGGGGCTATGGCGCCTCCAATGAAGGATCTACCCAGGTGGCTGGAAGAAAATCCTGAATTTGCAGTTGCTCCAGACTGGACTGATATAGTTAAGCAGTCTGTAAGTACAAGTGCCACATTTCTATCAAGAAAGGTATCCATCCAAAACTGTTTGCCTGAGTTTTCCATTGGCTATTAATCACTTTTAACTTAGTCTTAGCTTGAAAGAATTGACATAAATACATCATTTTCATACATCATTAATACATCATTTCTTCTATAAATACATCATTAATTTGAAGTGAATTAATTTGTCAGCTCTAATTTAAAAGGATTTTATAGAAATATATGCTCACAGTCTTGAAGGTGGACTTGCTCCAGGTAAACCTGTTTAACAACTCATCTGTGCAATGGAATTAGTGCTGGTTGACTGAGATCATTAAGATTATTAACTGATTCCTGATTTTAAAATAAACAAAAAAATACAGCAATTCTGACTAAAATATTTTTTTCAGTATTGGTTCCTTTTTTAATTAGTCAGTGGCATGCTGGTTATTTTTGTTTGTCTAAATTATACAATAAAATTGACTCATTCCTTCTGGTGTGTAGTTCTGTCAGTAGTAACACATACAGTTTCATAAATTGTCACCATAATCAGAATAAAGTTCCATCACCCCACTACCTCCCCTCCTCCAGTTTCCTTGTATGTTCCTCTTCCACCATCTCTGTCCTCCACGACTGACCTTAGAGTTTTGCAAGGATGTAACCTTATGAGACAACTTCTTTCTCCCATGCTACTGAGATACATCCAAAGGGTTGTGTCACAATGGCTTGCTCCTTTCTATTGCTGAGAAGGCTCCCATGTGTGAATTTGCCACCTCCTATTAGTCCATCACCCTTGGGGTTGTTTCCAGATTTTTGAGATTATGAATAGAGCTGCTATAAATATTTGTGTAAAGATTTTGGTGTAAATGTAACTTTTCATTTCTCTATGGTACATACTAAAATAAAATTTAATTCATTAAATTTTTCATATCTCTCAACTACCTTTTTCTTATTCTTACATATATTTGAAGTATCTAAAAGAATACATTATAGAGTATGTAAGAGATCTTATATTTAAAAAATTCTTTCATTATGCTATTTAATATTTTTTTCTCCCATGTAGACTTTTGAGAATTGACAGTTGACAAATGAAAATTCTATTTAGCATATACAGCATGATGGTTTGGTATGTGTACATTATGTACTGATTATCACAGTCATAGCTGTTTTTTGGTATGTTAGTTCTTGAGTTAGTTATGGATGCAGCTAGCTTGACATTCATCTCAGTGATGGAGTAGCCTTGGACAGTTTTTCTGCAATTTAGCAAACTAAAATAATAATAAAAGCCAGAATTTTTGCTTTCACAAGTTTCAACATTAAGCTTTTAGAATGTCAGTAATTGCTTGTGTACGTCTATTTAGAATGTTAATTTCCCATCATCACAAAGGCCCACATTGAAATTAAGTTTTCTTCTGCAGCGTTTATAGCCATTGTCTTCTTTTCCCTATCCTCTAGGGTTTTGTTCCTGAGTCAATGTTTGACCGTCTTCTTACTGGACCTGTGGTTCGAGGAGAAGGAGCGAGCAGGAGAGGAAGAAGGCCCAAGAGTGAAATTGCCCGAGCAGCCGCAGCGGCTGCTGCTGTTGCCTCCACTTCAGGGATCAACCCTCTGTTGGTGAACAGCCTGTTTGCTGGGATGGACTTGACGAGCCTTCAGAATCTCCAGAACCTCCAGTCTCTCCAGCTGGCAGGTCTCATGGGCTTCCCTCCAGGACTGGCAACAGCTGCCACTGCCGGAGGCGATGCTAAGAACCCTGCTGCCGTGCTGCCCCTGATGCTGCCAGGAATGGCTGGCCTGCCCAATGTGTTTGGACTGGGTGGGCTGCTGAACAACCCTCTCTCAGCTGCTACTGGAAACACCACTACTGCTTCTAGTCAAGGAGAACCGGAAGACGGCACTTCAAAAGTTGAAGAGAAAGGAAATGAAAATGAAGATGAGAACAAAGACTCTGAGAAAAGCACAGATGCTGTTTCGGCTACTGACTCTGCAAATGGATCTGTTGGTGCTGCTACTGCCCCGGCTGGATTGCCCTCCAACCCATTAGCCTTCAACCCCTTCCTCTTGTCCACCATGGCCCCAGGCCTCTTCTACCCATCCATGTTTCTACCTCCAGGATTGGGGGGATTGACGCTGCCTGGGTTCCCAGCTTTGGCAGGACTCCAGAATGCTGTGGGCTCCAGTGAAGAAAAGGCTGCTGATAAGGCCGAGGGAGGCCCCTGTAAAGATGGAGAGAACCTCGAAGGCAGTGATGCTGAGGAGAGCCTGGACAAGACTGCAGAGTCCTCCATCTTAGAAGATGAAATAGCACAGGGTGAAGAGCTAGACTCACTTGATGGGGGGGATGAAATAGAAAATGATGAATAACCAGTACCAGTTCCAGTTAAAGTGTTTAAAACTTTTGACAAGTGGTAGTCCTACTGTTTACACTCACAGTTAATGTTCATACCTAGTTTTATAAGCTGTTCTGTAACATAGTGTAGCAAAAAGAAAAAGGAAAAAAAAAAGTCCAAGTCATGTTATACAGGTGTGTCAAAAGGTATCTTGGTCATTAAGTATTGTGCAGTGCATTATTTATTATCCCTAGGAGAGATGAAATTTGAGAAGTGATCATGTCTTTTTAAGGAAACCTACATAATGCTCTGCTTTTTTTCTTTTGGTACCATTGGTATTATAATAAAGAGCAATTTGTAACTGAGTGGCACTAATGGAAGGAAGTGCTGCTCAAAGGAAGAATGAAGTTATATATTTAAGTTTTTAACTTTAACTTTTAATTTTTTTGCTGTGAAGGTCAAGATGAAATTTACCATACATATCATACTTGCTCATTCATTTCCCTTTTGACTGTATGGGGGTTCCCACACTTGCGCATACACACACATCCATACACTCTGACAATCTCCACGTTAGTGTGAACGTCTCTGTCCTGAGGCGCAGCAATAATAAGGCAGCTGTTGAATGTGAAGGGTCCCTTTGGAAAATTAACCTACTGGGAGGGTTCTTGCCAGACAGAACTACAGTTCCATTGTCTCGTGGTCTTGTAATGCACTGGTATAAACAAAATAAATAGAAGATTAAAAAATAAAGAGAGAAGTGAGAATCAGGTACCTTTTTTAAATTAAAGGACTTTGTTACTTTAGCCACAAAGCTAAAACAGCATTACCTCAGCTCTAAACTAGCCTTGAAGTTTACAGACATGACTTTGTAAATGTATTGTTTTTCTTTGTTGTGATGTCCTTTTATTTTTTTCTTTGAAAACTGCTATCATGTAAGATAAAATGTAAATTGCTGCCAACTGTAGTAATGATGCTTTTAATAAAAGTGACCCATGATATGCAGAGATGTAATTATAGAATGTAGTATGTAGGGGAACTGGTGTTCACTCTATTTTTTGTATTCTCAATAGATGCAAATGTAGCATTCTGGCTTTTGTATAGTTTTCTGATACATCCTCATACTAGATTAGCTGTTAGTAGCACACTAAACTGTCCTCAAGACTAGACAGGGACGAAAACCTGGAATCACCTTCACATAATTCCACGCCAGATATGTCAACAGAAATATTGTTGCACACAAAAACCTCCTATTACTCTCCCAAAGGGCAGATGAGGCTAAGAATACTTAAAAATGTGTGCAGCATGTGATAATGTGGTACATGGAAGAACAAAAGGGCAAAAGAAAAATGAGGCTTTAATAGGCACAATATCTAGGTCATTTATCCTTGGATAATGGGTAGAAAAGCACAATGCCATAGTGTCAGCAAGGGACAGAAAGGCACTTCGGTGTCCTGAAGACCAGGGCTTGATGCCAGACACCAAAGTGTGGAAAAACCCATGTGGAACTAAAATGGATCCACTTAAACACAGCGCGCACTTAGAGTCTCAAATTCCTGGTTTGTAGACCTTATGGCCTTTGATATTTGAAGTAAAATATAAATTTAAGATCTGTTGTTTTCACCTTTGTATGTCACCTGAACAGACACAAAACCATGTTTGTATCCTCCCTAAAAGAAAAGGAAATGTGGATAAAGTTGTTTTGTGTCCTTTACTTCCCCCGCATCCTCCCTGAATGCACACACACAGGCCATCTCCCACCCAATGTGTGATAGGACAGGATGTCTAAATTCCTTTGAGACAATGAGATTCAGCTTATTGACATCCCCAGATGAAATATACCCATTACTATTGTGGAAAAAGTACTACTGAGGACCCCACCCTGCTGTAGATCCTGTTGATTGCATCTGGGCCCCATCATTGTTATTATCTCTTGAAAGTTAACTGGCAGTGTCATTAGAAGTGCCTTAGAGTGTCCCGTGAAATGGAATTCTTTGAACATGGAAAGTAAGACTAGATCTGCACAAAACAGGAAATTTGGATATTTAAGTAATGGAAAGACTTTAGTTAGGGAGAATTTAATGTTTAATACAATGCATTATAAAAGGGTCTTTTCCTAAAACTTTTATTTATTGGAAATTTTCCTGTAAGCTTTTGTAAATAAGAATACAAGATGATCTCTCTTAGTGTCAGCTATTAAAAGCCATGATGATCTTCAGAGCAAAGGCATTGATTGCGTGCAGTCAGTGGGAACTCACCTGATTTTATGCCCACTCAGCTTTATTTGTTGTTTACCTGTTGACAGTGGGAAATGCATTTTTTTTCTTCCTATAGAATGAATTCTTAATACTAGATCAGATTTACCTAAGGAGGAAATTTCAGTTCTGTCTGATCCTAACCAGTGTCAAGTGGGTATGTAGTGTGAATGAAGCCGGTGCCAGTGCCAGTGCTATGGCTGCCATCACTGATTGGCTGCTGAGGGAAGTAAGTGCTGTTATTCCCCCAGGAGGCTGAGGTGTAGGCAGTGTGGGAGCATAGTTGGCACTCAGCAGCCTGACTTCAGAGCCTTCCCTTGCCTTCCTGAAGTACTACATTCTTAGGTCTCTGAAAGAAAAATCATTGCATAGGGATGATCTGAAGTGTTTTGTGTTTGTTTTTACATTTTCCCCCTCATCCTTCCCTAACTGGATCTTAACTTTGAGACTGGGAATTAAGAAACAGCCTACTGACTTAGAGCTGGGCATAACATGAGCTCTGCTTAAGTAAACTTGAGTCCCAGTTCATTTAAGTTTGAATTTGCCCCACAAGTGTTTTTATTGTATAAAGAAGTCAGTCACCAAGCTTGTGAATGGCAGACCTGGTATTTGAACCCAGAGTGGCTTGACTCCAAAGCCCACGCTCTTAACTACCAGGCTAGTGTGGTGTGGCACCATGCTGGAGTTTCAGACATGAAAACAGTCCAGTCCCCTGCTGTCGTGAAGCTTGCCTTCTAGTACGAAAAGACAGATGATGGATTACAAATAATCAAGGAAGACTACTAAATACAGATAGGCTGGTGAAGGTGGAGGTCTCTGAGGAGGGACAACTCAGTTCACAATAAGAGTGATGAAAAGCAGTGTGCAGACGAAAATCTGGCTGGAGAATGTTCCAGGCAAAGGGAAATGCAAATGTAAAGACCTATAATTGGGACTGCCTTGGAATAAGAAGTGCAGAGCTATCTGTCTAGAAGTGTTGGGAAGCAGGGCTGGATCACATAGGGCCTGGATGCCTTGTGGCGGTTTGGTTTCATTGTAAACACCAGAGAAGGTCCTTGGGAGGTTTCATGCAGGAAAGCACTATGATCATATATATGATTTTTTAAAAGACCAATATGGCAGTAATGCAAAAATAAGACTTGTAAAGAGGAGTCAGGGATCCATCTTGGGGACAACTAATATCCTTGGATGTAGGTCATGGGTGGTAAAGGAAATGCAAAAGCAGTGGACGGATGTGGGAAATAGTCAAGTGCTTACCTCTTCAGCACTACAACTACTGCTGCTGAACTATACCCAAAGACAAAACCCATAGGTAAAGAATTCTCACAGTGTGGTTGCTGTGTGTTTTAATACTATGAGAAATGTTAAAAAGATACTGGGAACAGAAATTTTTAATTCATGTCCTGTTAAAACTTTTTCAGTTTCAATTCAATGAAAATTATTGGAGTTTTTTGTTGGTGATGGTTTTGGTGGGTTTTTTTTTTTTCATTTTTCTTTTATTATTCATATGTGCATACAAGGCTTGGTTCATTTCTCCCCCCTGCCCCCACCCCCTCCCTTACCACC